TAGCAAACCCACCTTTCCTTCTATCCACATTCTCTCTTCCCCTAATTTGCTTTGTTTTTGAATCAGTGGTACTTCCCCTCTTCTAACCTATTCCATATTTACTTCTATATTTGTTTGTCTCACTCCACTAGGATAAAGGTTTCTTAAGGGCAGGCACTTGGTCTGTTTTGTTTATTACCGTCTCTCCCAAGTTCTAGAACAGTGCTCAATTTGTAATAGGATCATTAAATACTTGGAAAATGAATAATCTGCATGTAATTTCAACTTTTTGATTTTAATTACTCCTATCAGAGCTGCTAGAATCCAACCAAACCAGATGTTTCAGATTCCCAATCATCATCCTATTGCTGTCTCCCAAATTTTGACTGAGCTTCTATAGAGTGGTATAAATGAATGATAAACAGGCTGTCGCAGAGCAAAGTTAATGTACTAGGGCAAAAACTAGATAATTGATAATAAATTATTCAAAACTTAATTGTATCGTATAACTGCAAGCGTTTACATTACCACCTTCTGTTGGTTTTCATAAGTTGTGGGTTTTGATATTCAGACTTTTAATAGAAACAATTTATGGTATCAATCTGTTTTCAAATTTGTTCTCTTTGATAGCTGTAGACTTGATCCATTATATGTGTGATTGTATTAGCACCTTATCTATTTTCATTCCTTGGTGATAGTTTTATTTTTAGGTTAAAAAACTCACTGTGTTTCATGATATGTAACTTTTAAACTAAAACATTACTGAGATCTCTAAAGGGTAACTAAGTCATCTTGGTTGACTAAAAGGAACTCAGTCTTCTTTGAGAAAGCAACTAAAAGCTTTTCTTTTTAATTTATTTCAAGGGATGGAGAGAGGAAAAGCATGAGTGTCGAGAGGTAATATTTTGTTGTTAATTATTCATAATTCATATTATTTAACTAATTTTTAATTTTAATAAACTATCACTGAAATTAAAAATATTATTTGCAAATCAAATAATAATTTTCAGTAGTTTGACACTCCTAGAGTAAACATCCTAGTACAATACTTTATTATCTTTGCTTGCTGTGCTCTTAATGGAAAAAATTTAGCTGTACTTAACGTTTTTGAATGTTGGTTTTGTTCCTATTCAGTGAAAACCAAGCATTTTAGGATTTCAAATCTTAATTTCTAAGCTTGTTTATAAGAAGAATTATACTGAATAGTTATTTGGAAAATTTAATAAATGATGATGGAAATTCTTTCTGAAATTCTTCAAATATTTGTGAATGACCATAGGCATCAAATAGTAAGATATTGAAGAAGGAGAGCTTAGAGGTGATGTAGTTCGGTGGTTTACAATCTTGTTTGGAAGTCAAAAGAAATCTTGATGGAACCTTATTGTTTTGGGAAATATGTTGTTATTTTAAAAGTCCCTCAATTATCTCCTCAAAGCGCCAAAGTTCCACTGAGACATTTTAGAAACACAGACCTCGTATAAGGTTGTGTTCATTCTTCACATATATTATTTGGGATCAGAAAAGCTCAATGACTTTTACAAGACAATACACTCAGTAAATGACTTTGATAAAAATTGCTGGGTTAGGCTGTGATTTACATAAAAGCGATCAAAGGAAAAGAAAGGGAAAAAAAGCATCCAAAAGTGAGATAATATTGTCCTATTTAATGATTTTTTTTTCTATTTTGTCTTTTGTTATTGAGAACATTGCTTACTATACAAGAATATCAATATTAAATAATATTAATATTTCTTAAGAAAGAGCCAGCAAACCAATAGAAAAAATGAACAAGGGTCTAATTAATTAACAGAAAAGAAAGTACAGACGGCTCTATAAACATGTGAAAATATCCCCGATCTCCTTAATAGTTTAACAAACACAGACTGAAAGTTCCCTGAGATAGCGTTTTTCACTAATCAGGTTGGCGAAGGTACTAACATACTCTATTGGCAAGACCATGGGAGTGAAAAGGCTACTAAACTCTAAAAGGTATACTAGTTTCTTATTGGTAGTATAACAAATTACCACAAATTTAGTGGCTTAAAACAACACAAGTTTATTCTTATACAGATCTGAAGGTCAGAAATCCTAAATTAAGGTGTCAGCAGGTTTTCATTCCTCCTAGAGGCTCCAGAGGAGAATCCATTGCCTTGCCCAAAGTTTCTAGAGGCTCCTTGAATTCTTTGGTTCATGGCCCCATCCTCCATCTTCAAATCTTGTATTTTGTTTTTCTTTGACTCTTACCTTCCTGCCTCCTTGGGATTATATTGGACCTACCTGGCTAATGCAGGGTAATTGCCCCATCTTAATTTAACCACATCTGCAAAGTCCTTTTTACCGTGTAATGTACTAGGTTCTGAGACATTAGAATTTGGACATCTTTGGGGACCGTTATTTTGCCTACTACAGAGGGCAAGCAATTTGGCAATTTCTATCACAGATACCCGTGTGCTTTGATCCCACAATTCTTTTTCTAAGAATTCACCCCACAGGTATGATCACATGTTGTTTTACATGTATACGGGTTATTCACTGCATTTTTTATGATAGCAAAAGATTGGAAATAACTTAAATATCTACAAATGGAGGATTGGTTAAGTGATCTTACATCTTTGAATTAGAATGTTATGCTGCCATATAAAAATGAGGAAATTATTTCCTCATAGGGAACTCTCATGAGGATGAATGAGAAAAGCAAAATACCAACAGTGTATCTGATATTCTACTATTGATTTTAAATTGAAGGGAAATGTTTGCCTGTTTGCTGCTTCTAGATATGCATACAATATTCTAGAGGAATTCAAGTGAATAGGAAGCTGGCAGCACTGGTTGCCACAGGGAGAACTGGGTAGCTGGGGGCAGATTTAGAAGGGGGACTCTTTAATGAATCGTTATTTGCTCAGGGTTGTTTACTCGTTACCCTGGTATCTCTTTAGTGTCTTCCTCTTTTTCGTTAATAAAACCTTTCAACACCCTTGTGCAGATGAAGTTACAAGTTCTGCATTTAATCTTACCAGCCCTCCATTCCAGCTGTCTATTACACAGCTTTAAGTAGGTGCCATGAACGAACCCCTTAAATCTACTTGAAGATAATTCTTTTCCAGAAAATACATGTGCAGTGATTGGAAAGATGTTCTTATCTGTATTTTCTTAAGATAATCTTCTGTAGCAAAGTCTATATACGTATGTATACTAATGTGTATACTAATTTACAAATTCTGGGGGCATTATTATTATCTGTTGGTGACTTTAATCATCTTTTTAAAAAAAAATACTGTAGAGAACAAATGCACCTTTGCTAATCAGTTTAGCTGTAAATAATCTTCCATTGTTTAAGAAGATGCTAGATGTTTTTACTTAATTATATCTTAGTTCACTTGATAACTTTATTCTGTACTGTAGAAAATATAACTTTAATGCTAGGCCATTTAAACATACTATATTATTTCTAAATTATCCTGAATTATAGTTTACTTTGTGCAGCAAAATCATTCTGGTCTTTCTAGGACATTCAGTGAGATAAGTAAAGCAGAGGAACAGTACAGCTTGTGCCAAGAACTTTGCAGTGAACTTGCTCAAGATCTGCAGAAAGAAGGACTTAAGGTACTTTATTTTTATGCAGTGTTCTTAGTTTTTAAAAGTTTTAATAATAAAAAGGTACCTTAAATCAAGAGTTAGATTTTGCCTTAGATGAGGTCATTTTATGAGGAAGCAACTTGTGAGGATGGAGTGGCTCCAGTATAATTCCAAAGGAGTTTATATTACCTTGTGAGTACATTTGTTTGAATAAGTTCAAAATGAGAATTATATTGGCAATAAAGAATAAGGCAAAGGGAAGGATTTCCCCAGAACTGTACTTATTATAAAGCCTTTCCAGTCATCCTTTAATGTCATTGTCAGGTAGACAATGACCTTGTAGAATAGGCATTTTGTTTCAAGGCCTTAATCCAGGTTGCTTAAAATACTGAGAACAAAACCTGGAAGACTTTGAACTTTGTATTTTATAATCTTCACTCACCACAATCCATATTTGATATTTTTCCAACACTCTCAAACCAGAGATGGGGTTATTAAAAACTGTAATACAAGAGTTTTAAGAAGTTATTACAAAGAATGGGGTAGCTGATGAATATTTTTTATAACCCTTCTCTATTATACCTTAAGTATAAAGAGAATTCTTTTTTAAAAATTTTAAATAAACTTTTTAAGTTTAGAATTATTTTAGATTTATAGAATAGTTAAAAAGATAATATAAAGATTTCCAGTATACCCAATTTCTCTTATTATTAACATCTTATATTATCACAGCACATTACAAGACAATACAGAGATTTCCAGTATACCCAGTTTCCCTCATTATTAACATATTTATCATAGTACATTTGCAAAACTAAGAAACTGACATTAGCACATTTCTGTTAACTAAATCCAGACATTTGGATTTTACCTATTTTTTTCCATTAATATTCTCTCTCTATACCAGGATTCAGTTCAGGGAACCACACTACATTTAGTTGTCATGACTTCCCAATTTCCTCTAGTCTGTGTTCCTCAACTGCCTTCCTCTAGACAGTTGCTCAGTATTTCCTTGTTTTTCATACCTTGAGAGTCTTTTTTTTTTTTTTTTTTGACCTTGACAGTCTTGAGGAGTACTAGCCAAGTATACTGTAGAATGTCTTCCAGTCTGGGTCTGTCTGATAATTTTCTTATAATTAGACCAGGTCATAGGTTTTTAGAAAGAATGCCACAGAAATGGAGTGTCCCCTTCATCACACCTATTAAGGTCTATGATAGCTACATGACGTCACAGGTGATAATAACCTTTATCACTTGGTTAAGGTAGTGTTTGCTCGGCTTCTCCCCTGTGAATTTACTCTTTTTCCCTTTCCAAACTCTGTTCTTTGGAATTGAGTCAGTAAGTCTAACGCACTCTCTAACCTCCAGGAGATTGCAAAATATACATAACAAAATTTACCATTTTAACTATTTTTAAGTATACATTTTAGTGGCATTAAGCACATTCATATTGTGCAACTAACCATCAACTTTATTGATCGCCCAAACTTTTTCATCATCCCAAAGTAAAGCTTGATACCCATTAAACAATAACTGTAAAGGAGTTCTAACATGTAAATTTAGCATAATATCTGGTATATAATAGGTACACAGTAAGTGTGAGCTGTCCACAAAACCTTTTCAATGAGGTCCCTTCAGAAAGATTTTTTCCCCCTATCTTTTTAGGTACTGAATTAACCTCAAGAAGAGATTCAGTGAAAAGGAAAAGAATCAGTTAACTTTGCCCTTTATATAAAAGTCTTTTGTAAAATTCATTTGGGTAAGGAGGTATTAATTATTGGCTGAAATGGGTTTTTTTAGATTATTTATGGATTCCAGTTATTCTTTATGAGAATTTTCATTACATTGTTTTATAAATAATTGTACTTCCATACTATATGTACATAAGAGACCCTTTTGTATTTTTCTAACCTGTAAAATAACTTTTTTCTAGAAGTTAAAGAGCCATATATAATAATGTATTCTGTTATAGGGCAGAACTGTTACCATTAAGCTAAAGAATGTGAATTTTGAAGTAAAAACTCGTGCATCTACAGTTTCGTCTGTTGTTTCTACTGCAGAAGAAATATTTGCTATCGCTAAAGAATTGCTAAGAACAGAAATTGATGCTGATTTTCCACATCCATTGAGATTAAGACTTATGGGTATGACTTTTCTTCCTGTTTTCCTTAAATTTGCTAGACTTCCCCAAAGAATCAGCTTTGGAAATATTCTCACCTCCATTTTATTTCTTAAACCTGTTTAGGAAGTTATATTTATGCTGCTGCCATTTTCCTTAATTCTTAGAACCTGATACAAGTGAAGCCATGATCATTAGTTTAATTCCAGTAAAAGCAAGTTAAAGTTGTTCTTTTCCTTACTACTCACCGAAATCCCTGGGGTTAGGTATGTTTCAAAATTTAAAACTTTTCACACTTTAGAAAGCAAATTCAGGGCATGTTGAGTATATTATGTAATCCTCCTTTGGGATCTGAGGCGGCACTTCATGATCAAACACATTATTATTTCTGTAGCAAAACAAACACAAAAAGAATTCACACAGAGTTGTAAAGACTCTAAATAGCCTCACATAAATATAGTCATAAATTACCATTTGTTGCTTATAATTTTCAGAGATCTTTGAATTTCAGAAGTACAGCTGAGAGATTGTAGCACTCACTATAAAATCACATCTCCAGCCATCACATGGTTAAAAAAAAAAAAAGTGTTTCCAAAGTGAACTGAGTGAGAGAATGTTTATGGGTAAGCACTCCAAATGCCAGCTTTCCTGCTAAGACCAGGTCATTAGCCATATTTTCACATATGAAAGATAGCACATACTGAAATCAATCTGAATAAGTATGATAACTAGAAGAGCTGAAGAATGGATGTTAATAACAGTTTTATTTATAATTGCCAAAACTTGGAAGCAACCAAGATGTCCTTCAGTATTAGGTAAATGGAAACTATGGTACATTCAGAAAACATTATTATTCAGCACGTAAAAGTAATGAGCTATCAAGCCATGAAAAGACATGGAGGAACCTAAAATGTATGTTATTAACTGCAAAAGCTGATCTGAAAAGGCTACTTACTGTGT